TCACACACATAGAAAGAACGATTCTGAAAAATTTAGTTAGACAACAAATTTAGTTAGACAACAATCTGAAAATAATTTTGTTGGAATATCAAAATAATTACATAGAATGTTCAAGCTAATTGCCACAATATCAACATTTTTGGCAACATTGCTCTTCCTGCTATAGTGTTTTACAAAAACTATAGTCGTTTTTATAGTCCAACAGAATTGTTTTCAGATCTGTATCTATTTCAATTTTCATAAACATTAATAAAACTAATGTTTTTTTTCTGTATATTACGATTATTAATATATTTTTTAAATTTAGTAAATAAATAACTGATATCTTGATATTCATACTTATATAATAAGATTATGTCTAGTTTCCACACTTTGTTGAATTTTTAGATCTGTATCTACTTCAATTTTCATAAACGTTAATAAAACTAATGTTTTTTTCTATATATTACGATTATTAATATATTTTTTAAATTTAATAAAGTAGATAAATAACTATCTTGATATTCATACTTATTGAATAAGACTATATCTGGTTTCCACACTTTGTCAGGTGGTAACCTGAGGACACCGATACCGCCGTAATCTGCTTCATCCCATTGTAATTGATAGTCCATCCATACGAATCTCAACCATACGTTCGATTTCATAATCTGATTCTTTTCGTTCTGAAAAATTTAAAGAATTTGATATGAACGAAACATTTTTTTTTTCACATTTCTTTATATCATTTAAATTTACAATTCTACAATTTCTATCATCATCTGACAAATTTGCGTGAACATGAAACAAAACAAGAAAATCTCACCACATTGATCAGTTGCACGAAGGCGAGGCCAAACTTCACGTGCACTTTCTCCGTCATATTTTGCACTGGTCGGATGAGCTTATTGTATCCTCTGAACAAGTCTCGTACCAATCTCTCTTCATCTTCGGAGCATAAACCTGCAAGTAAGACGATTAACCCGATTAACGGAAACGTCCGATCGATGGAATCACGTGAGATAAATTGCGCAAATTAAAAATTCGCACGCCGCTTCGTCACGCACTCTACTTTTTTCGCTTTCTCTAGGATGTCAAAAAATATTAGTTTATTCCTATATCCGAACACTAAACTTTTTCTAACTTTCGCACGAATTTTTCAAGCTTCATTTTGTCGCTCCGAAAACGGGTCTTACCGACGCACAGAATCGCCGAGATCAGGAATAGTCGCACGAGACGCAGGCAAAAATACATTTTGGGCGGGTTCGTTGTGGGGTTGGTTGTGGTCCCACCCGAACGCTCGAACGCGCCGCGAGCACAGCCGCCACCACCGTCGTACCTCCACTGCCACCACCACCGATCAATATAGAAGCGCAGACGCTGGCGAATAATTGCATTTCCTTCCTTGCAACCCGACAGATCGAACCCACCCTTGTCGAGTAATTGAGATCCTCGTCATCATATATTCTCACAATCTTCGAAGATCCATCGTTAAAGACACTATTGAAATTCCCATACGATCACTCCACGCAAAGGGATGTTGTCAAGGGGAAGGAAAACACCACCGGACGTAGCGAGATTTTCAACGTGTCAGAGTGAACTGAGCTACCCTCGACAGGTTGGCAACTAGGGGATGGTTGGCCGTTCTTGCAACGAATGCGCTGCTTTACCGAGGGATTCTGGACAAGTCGTGCAGAGTAGAGTTTTATAGAGAAGAATTGATGAATCCAACGTTGATTTCTGGATTTTGATAATAAAGTTTTTATAGAAAACTCTCCTCCTTTTCAAAGAAATAATTAAATTAAAAATATTGCAAGAGAGAAAGGAAGTATTTTGCAGAATAATTTATATTTATTCGAAAAAACAGAAAATAGAATAAATATTAAACCGCCTACAATATATTTAATAATTTATTATGAATAACATACACTAATAATTCAGTATTGTTCTTATTTAATTACAAAATGTGTGTTAACAAAAATATACTCGGACAACACATACATTACTGAATTTGCGCATAATTATTACATTAATGCATTAATTAATAATGCAATTATTAATTAATACATTTAATAATTTATATGTTTTTCACATTATAAGATAAAGATCTAACTTTATATAAAATAATTCTAAAACAGTTATATGCATAGATTTTTTTACAAAATCTTCTTTGAGATGATTATTAAAATTTTATTATTAGATTATATTATTAGATTATAAAATTTTCTACATTTTATATTGCGTATAAATCTATGTACTTTGAAATTTATTTAGAGAAAGCTCTGCTAAGGCTGCAATTATGGATTATCTCATTTTCTAACTTTTCAGTGACATACGCGTGTAGGCCATGTTGCAGGGAAACAGCAATATTATGCACAAGTTTCAAAATTGTTTAGAAAACACGTGTCTATATTCGAGAAAGTTTCTTTACGCATTATCCCTCATTATTATGCTAACGTAAATGCATAACGTAATATCCATCATATAACATGTATAATTATGTATCGTGAAATATAATATTATCAGTATTTTTCATAAGAAATTTAGAGGTCTCGAGCCGCGGCTTTTGCTGAGTTTTCCAAATTGAATTTTAAATTTATCGTCATTTACATTTCTATTAGCTCGTTACCCATGCATTACCTTTTCATAGAACGCGATAATCGGATGGAACCTGACGCAGAGGCCACAGTAGTGATTTTATAATCTCAAAGAGATTTTGCGTAAAATGTTTTAAAAATCTACTCGTGTTTCATTGAGTTTATTAAAAAATTTTATATGATCTTTTTAATTTATTTCTTAATTATAATATACTTATTTTTATAATTTACAATACTTTTAGCTTATGTTACCTTTGTAATAACGAGCATGTTGCAAATTACAATTAATCTTAGTGCATTAGTGCTTTCCCCTAGTAATTGTCCTCTGCCCAAAATTAGGTAAATATCTTTGCAAGTCATGCTAGTACTGGCTAGCTGGCAACACTATGCCTGCTAAGTTTGACCATTAGGATGCAACAACATGCTGCGGTAAACGCTGCTATTGGAACACCATTGGCAAGAACATACGGAACAGAATCAGTATGACATTACTGTACAGTAAGCTAGTACTTTGAAGACATTGCTGATGTAGTTAATATTAGCGGATACTGGCTTGAATTAATGGTAAGGAGAGATTGAATTAATGATAAGGAGAGATATGTATTGTTTCTCTCAAGATTCTAACACAGCGTATAGGATAAAGTATACAGTGATTGATCATTTGTCTATGTATTAAAATCCAAGTCAAATTAACAGCTAATTTCATAACATAGTAACAACTGATTTTTGTTAACTTCATATATGAATAAAATATTCAATTTACAGTCCGTTTTTTATTTTTCTGACCGTAAATTGAAATCACAAGAAAAACTATAGTACATAATTAAGAAATACTTAACAGTTTAGTTAAGCGTACGTATTCAAATAGGTAAATTATATTATTATTAAACAATTAATGATATAACTTTTGTTTATCATATATGGCTAATACAAGATTATGAATATTTCCTACATATTAATTGTTTTAATTCATGCAATAATTACGAAAATGTAATTGAGAAAGTCCATTTTTTACGGTTATTCATTCATTGTAATTCACACATTATTCACTAATTAATTATTCCTTATAAATTACTATTTTAAGATGTTATAATATTGTAAGTTTAATTTTTCATGAAAATACCTAAAGTAAATCGTATAAAATATATTTAAGACGCACTTAACGATCTCGAAGATACCGACAAAAGGCTAAATAAAGCGGCATGAATATAGACCTAAGATCCGAGCAGATGAAAATTTGTAAATATTAATAAAAATCTCTTTAAACATTTTTAATATTTCATTAAATTTATCTCTTCTTCACTTTCTGAATTTTTATTTTGATGGTTTTTATACTAATTATCAATCACTGTTATTTTTTTTATTCTACAATAACTGTAAAACCTTTTATAATAACTGTATTCTATAATAACCGTAATAATTCTATAATAATTGTAATCAATAATAACTATCATTTTCTAAATAAAAGTTTCTGTTGGAAAAAATGAAAAACTCTTATTCAAAGTTTTTTGTATTTGACATATTCTTTGAATCTTACTTAACGTTTGCTTTGCATCAAATTCAAAGTTCAAATAACTTTAATAACTTTAATTACAGTAATTATAAGCGCTTCAGCACTTAGTTAAGTGGTCAATCATTGTACACTTCACCCTATATTGAATAATACTCCACAATTTGTATATAATTTTGCGAATTATGTAAAATTATTATTGTTAGATATTAATTATTTTTGGCATTATGCTGTAGTTTGATTCAACTTCAGTTAATTTTAATTAATCCTTTCAGATCCTGCGCGCGTACATTGTAATGTACATCAACTCGAAAACATTATTCTTCGAAATTATTTAATTCTATCGGCATCATCAGAGATTTGATGTACATTATAATGTATATATGTTGGAAATAAAGTCAAAATTTTGAAAAAATTAATTGTTTAGTATGAATTACTTATTAAAGTGCATATGAATTGAATAAAAAAAGTTTTTTTAACATGATTCCTATAAAATCAGGTCCGAAGGTGTTAGTAGTGGAACACCACAGTGGAATAATTTCCTGAATATAAGTTAGTCATGGAATAGTATTGTTGCGGCACTACGTCTCTATTTTAGTCACTATTGAAATAGTTTGACAATATAACTGGCAGTTTCTCGATAGATTTTTATGATACAGAGATATCGTAAAATGCACCATATCGAATATATATCGGCAACTGCAGACTAGTTTAACGGCGTCGTACGAATTACGTCAGGAGCAATCAACGGCGGCTCAGTTGACCAGAAACAATAACTCCGGAAACTCCAAATAGACGGATCGGGTAATAACGGTACGTTCAGTAAAATAACGGCGAGCGAAATCCGTGGTGTATCGCACCTCACACAGGAAACAAAGCCGTCTCGTTCGTCTGCATGCATTGGGAATGGGGCGCATGCATGCGCGCTGGTCCACCGCAAAGCTACACGCGCGCATGCGATCGTGTATGTATGCATCGGTACGCGTTATTGTTTGATCAAGCGACGCCGACGCCCGCGTGCAACTGCATCGAAGTAGACCATGTATGACGAAGCACACAACTTGGCCTGTGCAATGAAACTGCATGCAACGTTCGCTTTTTTAGGAAAATATTTGCAGTCGCAGGCATGGTTCGCTTTCTCTGCCTCGTGCGCGCGTTCATCGCGCGGAGAACTCTTCAAAGACTAGCTATTCGCGTTTAAAACGTGGGATAAAACAAATTTCAAAACTCGATGTAGCTCAACATGAATTATTTGTTTTTGTATATTTTGTTTTAACTGAGTATATTGTCAACGCTTTGTAGTAGGATTTGTTTTGTTCAATGCGAATAACATTCCAAAAAAGAAAAAAATAACAGCGCAAATAACGAATGTAAATTTAAATATGTACCTACGTCATTAAAAACTATTACTTATATATTTTTCACGTCCGGCATAGCTTAGAAAAATAACGCGATATTGATTATATTATATATGTCTATCATTCGTAGAGGAAAAAGTGATAATGTCGATAAATTCGTTTTTTATGTGTAATTTTTTATTTTTTACACACGAATATTCTGTACATATTTGTAAGCTCATATTGGGTTATTTTGAATTTTTCTCTTATTTTTTAGTTGCATTCAAATCAATAATATTATAAATGATAATTTATTTATATGTATTTAATATAAAACATAAATTTGAAATAATTAAGAGTTCACAAAATTAGAAAAATTGTTTAAATAAAAAAAGATATAATTGATTATCTAATTGTGATGATAAAAAAGACCTTTCTTCCTATATTTTTACAGAGTTTAATTTCTTCAGGTCTATTTGATCTGTTTTCCTTTAAGTTCAAATAACTTGAATTCATAGAAAATTCTGAATGTATTGAGATATTATTAAAGATTTAGAAGTTTCTTTTCATGAATACGTTCTCCTAGCAATATTCTTGCGTTGATCTTGTCCTCGTGAATGTTTACCACGAGCACTTACTTTCCACTTTGTAGATATTTCTAGAGACTACTTAAAATTATTTCAAAATCATAATCACAAAGATTGTTAACGAAAAGCATAACTTTGCAATGATTTTTTATTAAAAATTTCAGGATTTTTATTAAAAGTTTTTTTATTAAAAATTTCACTATTACAATACATTACCCACCCAAGTATTAGGGAACCCAATATAGAAATTGA